AGTGGGTCAGGCTAGGTATTGCAATGGGTAATATTCTCCGAAACGAGAATGTTAGGTCAAAAATACAACAGAACTAGAGATCATCAAAGTTCATCGAGGGAGGCAACTAGAGGAAAGAAGTAAGAAGGTGCAGTACAATACGCCTTTGGTACGACTTACATAATATCGGGGTTGCGGTGATGAGAGGACCCCTTCCACAACTTGTACCCCTACGAAGTTAGAATCTAATCCTGATTCGTTTTGGGCATTCTTTTCATCAAGACGGTATACATGAATGGCCAGCACGTTCTCCATTTCTGTTGGGTATGGGGGAAGGAGCTGAGGACGACATCAATAAAGGAAAGCTCGCTAGAAACAAGGACAAACCATCATGTTCTGGAGGTGACGGTATAGGCAACGATTTGTGTCCAACGGCACCCCTGTATCCCACTTTATTCAACAGAGATCAGTCACTGACATCCTTAACGAGTACAAAGGACTCACCCCAGCAGCCCGTGGCACTTCCCGCGCTAATAATTCCGGCACCGCGCCTATATATCGTTCCAACCATTCATATAGTTCTTTGACCTTTTTGATATCCGATAGACTTAGGCGGTGAAGGTAGCTTGCCCATGTTTCTTGAGGTAGGGGCATCATGTCGAGACTCTTGATACCGTCGGGGCCGTATCCAGAGAGCTTGATGATTCCTTCAATAGGGATCTCGGTAATGACGCGCCTCCCTGGTGGCACCGGAAACTTGGTTAAACGGGCTTGGCCAATCCACATACACGACCGGAAGTAGTTGAGGTTATTGACGCCGACATTGACATTTGTATGATTCTCTTTTGCTGATTTTGCACATTTTTCGAGGTTATTAAGTACTTTCGAAGCGGCCGCTGTCTCTGCCCGGTTTCCGCGGACTTTGGAGGTAAGATATTTTCCGAGCTCTACAAAGGAGAGGAGATTCTAGAGAAAGAGTCAGTAAGCCTCTTTGACGTGTGTTAAAGTGACTTGCATTGGTTTTAAGAAACTCGGGGGCACCATGCACGCGCAAGAAGTTGTCCGAGTGGAACTCAAACTGGTGGAGATTTTAGAAATCATCATCTTGATACACCATTTACATACCTCTGAAACGTGACTCCAAAGTCCGACGACCATGTGATCTGCACTTTTCTTGATACCGCCACTGGGTGATTTGGGCGAGACAGGCGATTTAGGAGAGATGACAATAGAAGGTACTTTGACGAGGGAGTGTATCGATGCATTCTCATTACTGAGTGAAGGTATGACGATAGGATCAGTGGCCTATATTTAGAATCAGTACGAGGGAACATTACATAGATATCAAGGATACGTACACTAGCACCCATAGTTGTCGGCGAGACTTGAAGAATTTCAGCAGCCTTTCGTAAGGCTGACTTAGTTTCGGTAGCTTGTGGTATAACGGTCCAACTTTCAGTCAACTCTGGGACAGAAGACTGAAGCTCATGTCCATCAGTGCTTTTGACTTCTTCTGTAGTGGTAGACACTTCGAACGAGGCCGATATATCGGCTTCGTTACCGTTCTCATCGGTGACTGGATCGGTAATTGAGTCACTGGTTGCTTGTGAGGGTCCGGAATCAATGAAAGAAGGGGCATGCGAAGATGGAGACAATAGCGCTTCTTGAGGTCCCTCCACCTCTGTCGTGGATGCGAGATCAATGATGGGTGGTAAATCTGATTCTGAAGACAGAGCCTGCAGTTCCAATTCATTTGGAGTCATATGCAGACCTAGAGCATCAGATGACGAATTCTGATCTGTAATGGCACTATCCAGACCCAGACCTAGAGCATCAAATGACAAGTTCCGGTCTTCTACTTTCTGCAAACCCAGAGCATCAGAGGGCGAGCCTTGGCTTGCATTCTCATTTTCCACTGAGAGACGAATGCTATCATGGGTACTGTCCTGATGACGATTTTTGTCGAGTGATAATATGCTCTCATCTTCTAAAGTGACCGACACAGGGGGTTCCTCTTGCAGTCCGGAGGATTCCTTTTCCTTTTCCTTTTCCTTCTC